GTCGGTAGTGGCTATCTTCTCATCATGTTTGTTACGCACTCTTGAAAAGTTACAAGCTGTCACTCGGACTTTGATTCTGAAATGGGATCTGGGGACTTGAAAAACATAGAATTTCGTAGAAAAATCGAAAAATAGTTCTAAGAGTTTCTTTTTTCTATTACGAGTGACATATTATTAGTGATTTTTGTTAGGTTGGTAACATTTTAAAATTTTGTAATGGCATCCCTGATTGTCAGATTGAAATTTTTGGCGCCAAGTTAGTAGCGGCCATCTCATCACGTTCGTTACGCGCTTTTGAGAAAAGTCACTAACTATCATTTAGGGTTTGCCCAGAGGCGTATTATTCGTGTTTTAAAAAGGGGGCTTTATAAGAATACTCAATTTTGTAGAAAAATAGTAAAATTTGATTCTGTGAGTTCCATTTTTAATAACTAGTGACTTAATTTCAGTGTTTTTTTGTCAATTTAAGTAACATTTTAAAATTTTGTGATGGCATGCCTGATTGTCAAATTGAAATTTTTGGCGCCAAGTCGGTAGTGGCTATCTTCTCATCATGTTTGTTATGCACTTTTAAGTTACAAGCTGTCACTCGGACTTTGATTTTGAAACGGGGTCTGGAGACTTGAAAAACATTGAATTTCGTAGAAAAATTGAAAAATATTTCTACGAGTTTTTTTTTTATATAACGAGTGACATATTATTAGTGATTTTTGTTAGATTGGTAACATTTTAAAATTTTGTAGTGGTATCCCTGATTGTCAGATTGAAATTTTTGGCGCCAAGTCTGTAGTGGCTATCTTTTCATCATATTTGTTACTCACTTTTGAAAAGTCACAAGCTGTCACTCGGACTTTGATTTTGAAATGGGGTCTGTAGACTTGAAAAACATCGAGTTTCGTAGAAAAATCGAAAAATAGTTCTACGAGTTTCTTTTTTTATAACGAGTGACATATTATTAGTGATTTTTGGTAGATTGGTAACATTTTAAAATTTTGTAATGGCATCCCTGATTGTCAGATTGAAATTTTTGGCGTCAAGTCAGTAGCGGCCATCTCATTGCGTTCGTAACGTGCTTTTGAAAAGTCACAAACCATCATTCAGGCTTTGCCCAGAGGCGTATTATTCGTGTTTTGAAAAGGGGGCTTTGGTAGAACATTCAATTTTGTAGAAAAATTGTAAAATTTGATTCTGTGAGTTCCATTCTTAATAACTAGTGACTTAATTTCAGTGTTTTTTTGTCAATTTTAGTAACATTTTAAAACTTTGTGATGGCATGTGTGATTGTCAAATTGAAATTTTTGGCGCCAAGTCGGCAGTGGCTATCTTCTCATCATGTTTGTTACGCACTTTTGAAAAGTTACAAGCTGTCACTCGGACTTTGATTCTGAAATGGGGTCTGGGGACTTGAAAAACATAGAATTTCGTAGAAAAATCGAAAACTATTTCTACGAGTTTTTTTTTTATATAACGAGTGACATATTATTAGTGATTTATATTAGATTGGTAACATTTTAAAATTTTGTAATGGCATCCCTGATTGTTAGATTGAAATTTTTGGCGCCAAGTCAGTAGCGGCCATCTCGTCACGTTCGTTACGCGCTTTTGAAAAGTCGCAAACTATCATTCAGGCTTTGCCCAGAGGCGTATTATTCGTGTTTTGAAAAGGGAGCTTTGGAAGAACATTCAATTTTGTAGAAAAATTGTAAAATTTGATTCTGTGAGTTCAATTTTTAACTACTAGTGACTTAATTTCAGTGTTTTTTTTTTTTTTCAATTTTAGTAACATTTTAAAATTTTGTGATGGCATGCCTGACTGTCAAATTGAAATTTTTGGCGCCAAGTCGGCAGTGGCTATCTTCTCATCATGTTTGTTACGCACTTTTGAAAAGTTACAAGCTGTCACTCGGACTTTGATTCTGAAATGGGGTCTGGGGACTTGAAAAACATAGAATTTCGTAGAAAAATCGAAAACTATTTCTACGAGTTTTTTTTTTTATATAACGAGTGACATATTATTAGTGATTTATATTGGATTGGTAACATTTTAAAATTTTGTAATGGCATCCCTGATTGTTAGATTGAAATTTTTGGCGCCAAGTCAGTAGCGGCCATCTCGTCACGTTCGTTACGCGCTTTTGAAAAGTCGCAAACTATCATTCAGGCTTTGCCCAGAGGCGTATTATTCGTGTTTTGAAAAGGGAGCTTTGGAAGAACATTCAATTTTGTAGAAAAATTGTAAAATTTGATTCTGTGAGTTCAATTTTTAACTACTAGTGACTTAATTTCAGTGTTTTTTTTTTTTCAATTTTAGTAACATTTTAAAATTTTGTGATGGCATGCCTGACTGTCAAATTGAAATTTTTGGCGCCAAGTCGGCAGTGGCTATCTTCTCATCATGTTTGTTACGCACTTTTGAAAAGTTGCAAGCTGTCACTCGGGCTTTGATTTTGAAATGGGGTCTGGGGACTTGAAAAACATAGAGTTTCGTTGAAAAATCGAAAAATAGTTCTACGAGTTTCTTTTTTTTATAACTAGCGATATATTATTAGTGATTTTTGGTAGGTTGGTAACATTTTAAAATTTTGTAGTGGTATCCCTGATTGTCAGATTGAAATTTTTGGCGCCAAGTCTGTAGTGGCTATCTTTTCATCATATTTGTTACTCACTTTTGAAAAGTCACAAGCTGTCACTCGGACTTTGATTTTGAAATGGGGTCTGGGGACTTGAAAAACATCGAGTTTCGTAGAAAAATCGAAAAATAGTTCTACGCGTTTAATTTTTGTAACGAGTGACATATTAGTGATTTTTGTTAGATTGGCAACATTTTAAAACTTTGTAATGGGATCCCTGATTGTCAGATTGAAATTTTTGGCGCCAGGTCAGTGGCGGCCATCTCATCACGTTCGTTACGCGCTTCTGAAAAGTCACAAACTATCATTCAGGCTTTGCCCAGAGGCGTATTATTCGTGTTTTGAAAAGGGGGGCTTTGGAAGAAAATTCAATTGTGTAGAAAAATTGTAAAATTTGATTCTGTGCGTTCCATTTTTAATAACTAGTGACTTAATTTCGGTGTTTTTTTGTCAATTTTAGTAACATTTTAAAATTTTGTGATGGCATGCCTGATTGTCAAATTGAAATTTTTTGCGCCAAGTCGGCAGTGGCTATCTTCTCATCATGTTTGTTACGCACTTTTGAAAAGTTACAAGCTGTCACTCGGACTTTGATTTTGAAATGGGGTATGGGGACTTGAAAAACATCGAGTTTCGTAGAAAAATCAAAAAATAGTTCTACGAGTTTCTTTTTTTATAACTAGCGACATATTATTAGTGATTTTTGATAGATTGGTAACATTTTCAAATTTTGTGATGGCATCCCTGATTGTCGGATTGAAATTTTTGGCGCCAAGTCAGTAGCGGCCATCTCATCACGTTCGTTACGCGCTTTTGTGAAAAGTCACTAACTATCATTCAGGGTTTGCCCAGAGGCGTATTATTCGTGTTTTAAAAAGGGGGCTTTGGAAGAATACTCAATTTTGTAGAAAAATAGTAAAATTTGATTCTGTGAGTTCCATTTTTAATAACTAGTGACTTAATTTCAGTGTTTTTTTTGTCAATTTAAGTAACATTTTAAAATTTTGTAATGGCATCCCTGATTGTTAGATTGAAATTTTTGGCGCCAAGTCGGTAGTGGCTATCTTCTCATCATGTTTATTACGCAATTTTAATTTACAAGCTGTCACTCGGACTTTGATTTTGAAATGGGGTCTGGGGACTTGAAAAACATCGAGTTTCGTAGAAAAATCGAAAAATAGTTCTACGAGTTTCTTTTTTTTATAACGAGTGACATATTATTAGTGATTTTTGTGAGGTTGGTAACATTTAAAAATATTGTGATTGCATCCCTGATTGTCGGATTGAAATTTTTGAGGCCAAGTCAGTAGCGGCCATTTCATCACGTTCATTACGCGCTTTTGAAAAGTCACTTACTATCATTCAGGCTTTGCCCAGAGTCGTATTATTCCTGTTTTGAAAAGGGGGTTTTGGAAGAACATTCAATTTTCTAGAAAAATGGTAAAATTTGATTCTGTGAGTTTCATTTTTAATAACTAGTGACTTAATTTCAGTGTTTTTGTGTCAATTTAAGTAACGTTTAAAATTTTGTGATGGCATGCCTGATTGTCAAATTGAAATTTTTGGCGTCAAGTCGGCAGTGGCTATCTTCTCATCATGTTTGTTACGCACTTTTGAAAAGTCACAAGCTGTCACTCGTACTTTGATTTTGAAATGGCGTCTGGGGACTTGAAAAACATCGAGTTTCGTAGAAAAATCGAAAAATAGTTTTACTAGTTTCTTTTTTTATAACGGGTGACATATTATTAGTGATTTTTGCAAGGTTGGTGACATTTTAAAATTTTGTGGTGGTGTGCCTGATTGTCAAATCGAAACAAAAATATGAACTTTTCTTGCGTTTATGTTGGCATAACGGAAGTAATTGTCTGACAGATGTGTCAATCGTGACATGCGATAAATTTAGGTTATGTTTTGGATACATTTTGTACATTAAAAATGTCAACAATCTGTCAATCTTGATAGCTGACAATCGGAAATAATAGAAAATATGATACCAGTTTCAACTAAAAATCCAGGCTTGGCAACAGTATCAGTTGTTTCTGATGACGCGGTATAACGAGAGACTTAATTTTAGTAATTTTTTGTCATTTGGGCATCAAGTCAGCAGTTCATTTTTAAAATAATGATGTTTGACAGTTATTTAACCGTAATTTAAAAAAAACGCCAGTGTTGCCAACATAATTTTATTAACATTAAATTGCTAGACTACAATGAACACAAACATTTAGAAAGACCGGAAACCCAATCACAGTCATCTGCCGCTAAACGTACTCCAATCAAGTCGTAGCGGTTTTCCCGCCACAATTTTAATTAGGAAATTGCGGTGTCGATTAATCTTCTCCGAACGACTGACCAATCCGATAATTCCAGGTCAATTGAACGAATGCAGCCACAGACTGGACAAACTCCAAGGCGAGCTCAAGAGGTATCAGGGCTACCTGGAGGACGCCATCAAGGGTATTCAATCCGGACAGAACAATTCGTTGACGAATTCGCCGCGGATGGTCAACGGCTCCCGACACCATCGGAACTCTGGAGGAAGCGCGGCCGAAGAGGAGTCCCTCAGCAGGTCTGCGAGCGATAGCAGCGTCACTAATCCTACTATTAATCATAATAAGCAGTCCGCACCGGGCACGCCTCAGCTTAATCATGGGTGGGTGTTGGACTTAAGTGTAATCGTTGCTTAACTCACACGGCGCGGACTAAAACCGACGGTTTTAGTCGGCGCCGCCAATCGCGATAATCGTATTAGTGAAAACAATGACCTGTGTATGGTGCAATTTAATATAATTTGTCAATGAATGTGAAAAGCACCGCTAGCTTGTAGTAGTTATTCACACGAAATTCCTCGACTTAGTTTGTTTTATTTATATGTCACTTTACATTTTGACATAGTTGTTCAAACAGTCCTGAAAGTGGATTGGGTACGTCGCACACGTCTCTGCCAGGGGTGGACTCGGATCCTGACCAGTATGACGGGCATACGGCGGATCCGGAAAGCGAGTATTACGAGGCCGACCTTCTGGCTCCGATGGGAGTGTGTAAAGCGCTATATCCGTTTGAAGGTAGATAATCACACTTTATCGCTCTCTGTGGTGACGATTTTTTTTCTGCAGCCACTAGCGAGGGTAGTATACCCATGGCGCAAGACGAGGAGCTGCACTTGATCGAGGAGGACCAAGGAGACGGGTGGACTCGGGTCAGGAGGATGCACGGGGAGTTGGAGGAGGGTTTCGTGCCGACTTCATACATAGAAACGACTCTGTTCGACAAATAATCGCTCTTGTGTGAATAGTTACAAAATTTATATATTTTTATATTTTATTTATGTTCTGAAATATTCATTATTTATGTTCTACTTATTTTTTTTTTGTATATGTATTAAGTTAGTCGTGAACACCTACACACAAGAACTCATACTAAGTATAACGTCCATATATATTGTTGCTTTCTGCAATTTTCAGTTGTTTAAGTTTGCTTAGCACAATAAGTCGGGTGACGTTGCTGCCGCTTTTCTACTATTTAATTTTTTATTTTTGTAAATTCGGCGCGGCGATGTTGCCTTCTAGTTACTTGTATATATGCTCATACACTAATATAGCTCGCTGTGAGAACAATTTAGATTAAATTGTAATATAAACAGTTAGTTGTAATTTTATAACTTTTTTTAATTACATCAGACTTTCGTCACAGAATAGTTAACGTTATCGTCTACTATTTACATACATAGTTGTGATTTCTTTAATTTACTCAAATACTTGTGCTACATATTCCATCGTTCCGTTTCTGTGGGAAGATCACTCAAGTTGGATTTTTAAGGACGGCGAGTTTAGAGTTTCTACATCTCATATTTAAGGAGCTGTTTGGTGCTAGTGCCGCGGTGGCAGCTGGTGACTTAAGTCATATCAACCTCATCATCAACAGAGTATTTTAATATTTACGTGTTGTCGCCATATCACTTAAGTTAAGCTTGTTGTTGGTCGTCATTGTCCTTAAAAGTCCGCAGATCCGTGTCTATGTGAAATTCGGCTAAACTCATAATATTAATGTGCATTATGACTGACTTGCATTATAAATACCTATATAAATACAGAGTTGTTTTTTTCACGCCTTGTCACCCTACATTTTCGCATTCTTCAAAATAGGGCATCTTATTCATTCTTAAGGTCTGAATACCGCGTGAACAGAAATGATCAAATCTATTGGCAGTACTTTTTAAACAAAAATGTGAACTTTTCTTGCGTTTATGTTGGCATAACGGAAGTAATTGTGTGTCAATCGTGACACGCGATGAATTCAGGTTATGTTTTGATTACACTGACAATCTGTCAGTCTTGGCAACTGACAACCGGAAATTATACAAAACATGAAACGATTTTTTTTTTTTTTTTCAAAAAAGACATTAGGAACCCTAGAGTCATGACGTTATTTAAAGCAAGATATTAAAGGTCCCCGACGTTTCTTGAAATTCTTCGTTCGGGGACCTTTAGATTCCTCACACTCTTTAAAAAAAGACACTAGGGGATTCTGGGGATCTTTCTCATTTCTAAAAAGACCAATTGGGGAGCCTGAGATGTTTGACATTCTTTAAAAAAAAAGACACTTGGAACTCCTGAGATTCTTATTGTCGTTCTTTATCTGTATTGAGTGTTCTGTGGTTCTTTAAAAAATAAGACACTAAATGTCCCTAGGGTCTTTCAGATTCTTAAAAAAATAACATTTGAGGTACTTGAGATTCTTGACATTCTTTAAAAAAAAGACACTCGAGATCCCCGAGGTTCTTTCAAATCCTTTAAAAAATTATATTCAGGAACTTGAGATTTTTTACATTTTTTTAAAAATACCAAGAGAGTCCAGAAAATCTTCCTCAATCCTGAAAAAAGACAATCGGGGACCTTGAGATTCTTGACATTCTTAAAAAAAGATACTACGACCTCCCGATATTTTTGATACTCTTGCAAAAAAGACACTGGAGATTCCCGAAGTTCTTTCAAATTCTTAAAAAATGACATTCGAAGACCTTGAGATTCTTGACATTCTTTAAAAAAGAGACGAAAGTCACTAGAACTCCCCGAGATTCCTTCAAATTCTTAAAAATAGACACCAGCGGATCCCGAAAATCTTTCTCATTCCTGAACCGGAGACAAAAAGATTCATGATATTCTTTAAAAAAAGACACTACAGATCCCCAAGGTTCTTTCAAATTTTTTAAAAATATACATTCAGTGACGTGAGATTTTAACATTTAAAAAAAAAGACACTAAGAGCACCCAGACAATCTTTCTCATTCCTAAAAAAAGACAATCGGGGACCTTGAGATTCTTGCCATTCTTTAAGAAAAGACACTAGAGATCTCCGAGGTTATTTCAAGTCCTTTAAAAAATTATATTCAGGAACTTGAGATTTTTGACATTTTTTTTTAAGATACCAAGAGAGTCCAGAGAATCTTCCTCATTCCTGAAAAAAGACAATCGGGGACCCTGAGATTCTTGACATTCTTAAAAAAAGATACTACGACCTCCCGATATTTTTGACATTCTTGGAAAAAAGACACTGGAGATTCCCGAAGTTCTTTCAAATTATTAAAAAATGACATTCGAAGACCTTGAGATTCTTGACATTCTTTAAAAAAGAGACGAGAGTCACTAGAACTCTCTTTCAAATTCTTAAAAATAGACACTAGGGGATCCCGAAAATCTTTCTCATTCCCAAATCGGGGTTAAAGAGATTCTTGATATTCTTTAAAAAAAGACACTAGAGATCCCCAAGGTTCTTTCAAATTCTTTAAAAATATACATTCAGGGACGTGAGATTTTAACATTTAAAAAAAAAAGACACTAAGAGCACCCAGACAATCTTTGTCATTCCTAAAAAAAGACAATCGAGGACCTTGAGATTCTTGACATTCTCTAAAAAAAAGACACTAGGAACTCTCGACATTTTTGACACTGTTGAAAAAAAGACATTCGAGATCCCCGAAGTTCTTCCAAATTCTTAAAAAATGACATTCGAAGACCTTGAGATTTGTGACATTCTTTAAAAAAAAATACTAAGAAATTTTCTAATTCCTAAAAAAGGGCAATCCCGGACCTGGAGATTTCTGACACTCTTTAAAAAAATAAGGATCCTCGAAATATTTGACAGTCTAGGAATTTGAGATTTTTGACATTTTTTAAGACAGACACTAAGAGAATCCAGAGAATCTTTCTCATTCCTAAAAAAAGACAATCGGGGACCTTGAGATTCTTGACATTCTCTAAAAAAAAAGGCACCAAGGGAACCTGAGATTCTTTCTTAAGAAAAAGACACTACGAACTCCCGATATTTTTGACACTCTTGGAAAAAAGACACTAGAGATCCCCCAAGTTTTTTCAAGTTCTTAAAAAATGGCATTCGAAGGCCTTGAGATTCTTGACATTCTTTAAAAAAGAGACGAGAGTCACTATAGAACTCCCCGAGATTCTTTCAAATTCTTAAAAATATACATTCAGGGATGTGAGATTTTGACATTTTAAAAAAAAGACACTAAGAGGACCCAAAGAGTCTTTCTCATTCCTAAAAAAAGACAATCGGGGACCTTGAGATTCTTGACATTCTTTAAAAAAGACACTACGAACTCCCGAGATTGAGACTCTGGACATTCTTGAAAAACAAAAGACGAGAATCTTTTTCATTCCTAAAAAAAGACAACCTGAAATATACTGTGACATTCTTTAAAAAAAAGTCATCAAGGTGGCCTAAGATTCTTTCTTTAAAAAAAGATACACGGAACTCCCGAGATTTTTAACACACTTGGAAAAAAAGACACCAGAAATCCCCAAAGTTCTTTCAAACTCTTAAAAAATGACATTCGAAGACTTTGAGATTCTTTAAAAAAAATACAAGGCACTTTCTCATTCCTAAAAGAGGACAATCGGGGACCTGGAGATTTCTGACACTCTTTAAAAAAAGACAATAAGGATCCTCGAAATATTTGACGGTCTAGGAAGTTGAGATTTTTGACATTTTTTAAGAGAGACACTAAGTGGACCCATAGAATCTTTCTCAATCCTAAAAAAAGACAATCGGGGACCCTGAGAGTTCTGACATTCTTTTAAAAACAAAGGCACTAAGGTAACCTGAGATTCTTTCTTAAGAAAAAGACACTATGAACTCCCGAGACTTTTGACACTTTTGGAAAAAAGACACTAGAGATCCCCGAAGTTCTTTCAAATTCTTAAAAAATGACATTCGAAGACCTTGAAATTCTTGACATTCTTTGAAAAGGAGACGAGAGTCACTAGAACTCCCCGAGATTCTTTCATATTCTTAAAAATAGACACTAGTCGATCCCGAAAATCTTTCTCATTCCTGAATCGGAGATAAAGAAATTCTTAATATTCTTTAAAAAAAGACACTAGAGATTCCCGAAGTTCTTTCATACTCTCAAAAAAAAAGACACTTGGAGAATTTGAGATTCTTGACATTCTTTAAAAAAGAAAAAGACACTGGAGGTCCCCAAGGTTCTTTCAAATTCTTTAAAAATATACATTCAGAGACGTGAGATTTTGACATTTACAAAAAAAAAGACACTAAGAGGACCCAGAGAATCTTTCTGATTCCTAAAAAAAGACAATCGGGGACCCTGAGAGTTTTGACACACTTGGAAAAAAAGACACCAGAAATCCCCGAAGTTCCTTCAAATTCTTAAAAAATTACATTCGAAGACCTTGAGATTCTTGAGATTCTTTAAAAAAAAATACGAGACACTTTCTCATTCCTAAAAAAGGACAATCCGGGACCTGCAGATTTCTGACACTCTTTAAAAAAAGACACTAAGGATCCTCGAAATATTTGACGGTCTAGGAAGTTGAGATTTTTGACATTTTTTAAGAGAAACACTAAGAGGACCCAAAGAATCTTTCTCATTCCCAAAAAAAGACAATCGGGGACCTTGAGATTCTTGACATTTTCTAAAAAAAAAAAAACACCAAGGAAACCTGAAATTCTTTCTTAAAAAAAGGACACTACGAACTCCCGAGATTTTTGACACTCTTGCAAAAAAGACATTCGAGATCCCCGAAGTTCTTCCAAATCCTTAAAAAATGACATTCGAAGACCTTGAGATACTTGACATTCTTTAAAAAAAAAATACGAGGCACTTTCTTATTCCTAAAAGAGGACAATCGGCGACCTGGAGATTTCTGACATTCTTTAAAAAAAGACACTAAGGATTCTCGAAATATTTGACGGTCTAGAAATTGAGATTTTTGACAATTTTTAAGAGAGACACTAAGCGGACCCAGAGAATCTTTCTCAATCCTAAAAAAAGACAATTGGGGACCCTGAGAGTTTTAACATTCTTAAAAAAAAAGGCACTAAGGAAGCCTGAGATTTTTTCTTAAAAAAGACATTACGAACTCCCGAGATTTTTGACACTCTTGCAAAAAAGACATTCGAGATCCCCGAAGTTCTGCCAAATTCTTAAAATATGACATTCGAAGACCTTGAGACTCTGGACATTCTTGAAAAAAAAAGGACGAGAATCTTTCTAATTCCTAAAAAAAGACAACCGAAGATATACTGTGACCTGAGATTCTTCACATTCTTTAAAAAAAAGTCATCAAAATAATAATCAAAATAGGAGAAACTTTCTCATTCCTAAAAAAGGACAATCGGGGACCTGGAGATTTCTGACTCTCTTTAAAAAAAGACACTAAGGATCCTCGAAATATTTGACGGTCTGGGAAGTTGAGATTTTTGACATTTTTTAAGAGAGACACTAAGAGGACCCGGAGAATCATTTTCATTCCTAAAAAAAGACAATCGGGGATCCTGAGAGTTTTGACATTCTTTTAAAAACAAAGGCACTAAGGGAGCCTGAGATTCTTTCTTAAGAAAAAGACACTACCACCTCCCGATATTTTTGACACTCTTGGAAAAGACACTAGAGATCCCCGAAATTCTTTCAGACTCTTAAAAAATGACATTCGAAGACCTTGAGATTCTTGACCTTCTTTAAAAAAGAAAAAGACACTAAGAGGACCCAGAGAATCTTTCTCATTCCAAAAAAAAAAAACAATCGGGGACCTTGAGATTATTGACATTCTC